ACAAGTGATATCAGGTGAAATCTCAAGAGTCCTGTGTCATCTATAGGACCTGAGATAAGGAGGAGGTTTCTCTTTGTGCTGTTATTTAAATTTTGAAATAATGAACTTTCATCTATTTCATGAGCTAATCTATTCAGAAGTATATAGTTCCAGAAAAATACATGAATTGATAGATCAGAAGGAAGAGAATCTGGAGAAGGAAAAGTTCTCAGTTCATAAAGACAGGTGTTCCATGTGAGAGCTTGTTTCCATGACTCACAGTGACCATGCTCAGTCAGTCCTCTCACACGGCATGGACGGAGGAACCTCCACTGGCCAGGTGACACACGAGGACAAGTACTGTGTGCTTCCACACAGAGTGTGGTGCCAAGCAGTGTGTCTTCGTGGGTTTTGAGTTGCCATCAGAAAATACCACAGACTGAGATGAACACAAATGACTCCAGTGAACACAATGGCTGATAGTTTCCTAGTTGCAGGGCTGGAGGTCCATTGTCGAGGTGACAGCATTTGGCAAGGGCCTTCTTGCTGGGTCATGACATGGTCATAGAAGGGCAGAAAGGGGAGAGCACCAGAGACAAAAGGGGTCTTGAACTTGACGTTATAAGAAACCCATTCACTTGATAAGAAACCCACTCTTATCCTGGGTTGGACAGATGCTCGTCCCTTCCCAGGGAGGCACCTGCAGCAGCTGAGGCCACCCCAGGTGGGTGAAACCAGCCTCACTGGTGAATGGCAGGTCCAGGCACTGGGAGGGGTGGAACTCTGCCAGGCCAAGGGCTAGGGAATGGGGATGTCTGCCTGGAACTGCAGCTTTGTGGTGAGGATGCAGAGAGGTGATTGGGAAACCCAGGGAGGCACAAAGACCACTCGGGATCTCAGCTTGTGCACGTCATACCTTTGGAGCTGCCATTGCCCTGGGGCGGCCAGCACACCCCAGCATGGCGGGAGTCCAGGTGCAGTGGTCATGGGCTCTGAAAGGGGAGCAGAGGACACTAAAGCAAGTGTCAGGGATGAGGTAACCTGTAGGGGTCACGGAAGGTCTCAACAAGTACCCTCTGGTGAAAATAGAGACCTGCATCATCTGTAGTACATGAGAGGAGAATGGTTCTCTTGGTGCTGTGTTATTTCAGTTTTGAAATAATGAACTTCCTTTACTTCATGAGTTAATCTATTCACAAGTAGAAAGTAAGTTCCGAAAGTAAAGAAGACTTGATAAACCAAAGGAAGAGAAGATGGGAACAAAAGGGTCCTTATTTCAAAAAGACAAGTGTCTCATCTGAGAGAGTTTGTTCCCAAGATTCACAGTGACAGTGCTCAGCCAGTCCAAGGACAGAGGATGTTCCACTAGCCAAGTGACCCAGTGAAGACCGTATATGACAATGGTGGCCTGAAAGCTCCAACTTATTGTTCCCAGCACCTCATTCCCCCCCAAAAATAGAGAAAGCTTTGCTAAGGCTGAAGGAGAGAAGGACAGCTAGGGCATATGATGTTCTAACGAGACCGCTTTACTGGTTTTGTCAGTGCTCCCTTTGGTACCAAGACAGAGCTAAGTAATTGTCTTATTTTCTTGTTAAAGGAGATCGATTTGTCATTGTTGGATGATTATCTGAGAGCTTGAAAAACAAACACCCATCTTCCTGGGCATGCTGACTCATACCTTGTAATCTTGGCTACTTTGGGAGCCAGAGATTGGGGAGTTAGTGGTTCAATGCCAGCCTGGGCAAGAAGTTCTCAAGACCTCATCTCAAATAGCATCTGGGCACTGTGGTGTGTTCCTGTTATCCCAGCTGTGAGGGAGGTTGGGGATGGGAGGTTTGTGTTTCCAGGTCAGCCATGGACCAAAAAGTTTGCAAGATCCCATCTCAAGACAGGAAGCTAACGTAGGTCCTCTCCTGGGGGGCCGGGGAGGGGTGTGTTCCACGAGGGCATAAGGAAAAGGTGAAGGAAGACAGAGTTGGTCGAAGTATTTTGTATTTACGTATGAAAACAGAACAGTGAAACTTGTTGACATTGCTCTAAGTAGGTTGTAGGGGAGATAAGGAAGAAAGATGGAAGGGGTGAAATCTGATTAGGATATATTAGAAGCCCTTGTGTAAGTGTCACAATGTACTCCCCTCTACAGTATAATATGCTAATAAAAAATCCCATCTCAACAGAATAGTGCTTCTGGTGGCATGCTCCAGTCATCCCAGGAAGCATATGCTAGGAGGGTCGCTGTTTAAGCCAGCCTGGGTATAAAGCAAACCTTATCTCAGAACTAATCAGAAGAACAAAGTGCTGGTGGCGTGGTGCAAGCCAGAGTGACTGCCTCGTGAGCATGGAGGCCAGAATTGAAACTGCCGTACTGTCGGAAAGCAAACAAAAAGCAGACGAGTTAGAAAAAAGAAAACAGCTTTAATGCACTATCAGAACTGTGGGTGTGACAGGGCTGTCACCCATGGTAAGGTAGAAATTGAGATAGCTCACTTGTCAGAAGAATCTCTGAGAGCTCAGAACCGCCATCAGAGGAAGCAGCAGTGTCACAGCAGAAATCTTCCTGCCACATCTGTCTGATGTCATCAAGAAACCTGCTACACACCCCCACCCTGTATTTGGCCCCAGGGGATGACTCTAGGTCATGTGATTGAATTCTAAACGGTAACAGCGTCCTCTCTCCTCTGAGGGGGGAGGTGGTCTTCTGTTAGAGAAGCTGTCCCTGCAATGTCCGGCAGCCGCTGGCTTCCACTCAGGCTTCTTCCTTACAGATGGAGGCTGGGCTCCCGCACAGCAAAGATGCTTTAGCATCATGGCCTCCTCAGGACTCCTGCCTCAGGGCCAGGGAAAATGTTCCCTGCCACCTGCTCCAAGTCGGTTTCTCTTTGTGGCAGGTCATTCCACTGGAATTCACTTTTTGATATATTGTATAATTTTCATAAGCATAAAGCTACTTAATGGGTGGAAATTCAAAGACTTTTTCAATGTGTCATTGAACTCACTTCAAAGATAAATCAGTTAATTTTACTGGACCACACAGGCTTATTGGAGGCCTTTTAATTTCTGCACTTGCTGACAGGGCCCCAGCGAACAGCCCTACAAAGGTGGATGGCAAGTTCTCTTCACCCTGAACTGTCACATAACATAACAGATCTCTAACACTGAACCTTGAAAATAAAGTCCTTTCACTTATTTAAAAAAATGGAAGGAAAAGTGACAATGTGGGAGAATAGATGTAGAAAGAGACAGGAAAGTTCTGACAAGGCCTCAAGCACAAATGAAATCCCCAGCAAATAAGAGAGGGTGCCTCCTCAACTTGATAAATTACATCTATGACAGCCCTACTGGCAACAGGGTACTTGATGGGAGAAGCTAGACGCTTTCTCACCAAGATCAGGGGCAGAGCAAGAGTGGTGCCTTTCACACTCCTTTTCCACAGTACTGGAAGCCCTGGCTAATGCAATAAGACATGAAAAGGAAATAAACAAATTAGCAGAAGAATGAACTCTGCCTTTATGAACAGATGGCATGGTTTGTCTATGTACAGAATCCAAAAGAATCAACCACAGCCCACACCCTGGATCCCAAAAGCAATTGTAATGAGCTTGCAGGATGCACCATTGATATGCAAGGTTAATTGCTCTCCCGTGTATCAGCAATGAGCAGATGGAATTTGAGATAAAGCAGCAGTGCCGTTTATGTTAGCACCAAGATAAGTACAATGAGGAGGCACTGAGCTAACAAAATATGTACCAGGTCCATATGAGGAAGCTACAGAACTGACACAGAGTCAAAGAACTAACTACGGAGAGATGTTCCTTGGTAGTGGGGAAGAAACTCGCTAATAACAAGACAGGATTCATCCTACCTCATGTGCAAACTCAAAGCCACCCCAGGGGATGCAGATGGCACGGGTGGGGAGCCCTACATTGAGAACCACTGGTGCCATTTTATAGATGAGGGAGTCGCAGTGGCAGCAGGGTGCAGAGTCATAATGGTCAGTGCAAGGTTGCTTCCTAGTGTGAAGGAAGAACTTTCATACACGTCAGGCATCAAGGTTTAAAAATGGAAGCTGAGCTTTGGGACCATCCTTCTCTATACATTTCTGTCCCCATCACTTGATGGCAAACTCAACTCTGGAAGCCTGAGGGGAAGTGGAACGTGACTGCTGAAGCCATGGGATGGATGGAAGGCCCCAAGGCTCCCAGGGTCATTGTCTCCACTTTGATGCACATGCTAGCTTGCCTGGTGTCACGTGGGAAGGAAGAAGACATGAGTGCCACTGTTAAAGAAAAATTATTATATATATTTTTGGTGGCACTGGGGTTTGAACTCAGGGCCTCACGCTTGCTAGGCAGGTGCTCTACCACTTGAACCACTCCACCTATAAACTAGATATAGTGTTTGGAGGGTATTTGTGGGAGGGAGGAGGGTGAATGAAGGAGATCGAGGTGAGGGAATATGGTGGATGGACTTCATGAACTTTTACAAAATAGAACAAAAAGCCTCTTGCAGTAGTTTCAAGAGTGGGATGGGGAGAGGGTTGAGGCGGAGTGATGGTGGCGGTGATCAAACCAATGTACAGTGTAAGCCTATTTGGAATTGTCACAGTGAATCCCCCATACAACGAATATATCCTGTTTCAAAAATCTGAAAAAAAAGAAACATGAAATGACAATTGTTGAAACACATCCGGGAAGGCCTTATAGGACCTTGGAAATAAGTATTATAAGGACCACTGCAATGGGGTCCTGAAGTGAGGAAGATTGAGCTCAACTCCAAATATAGCATGGCCAAGTGAGAATTCATAGCCAAGGCGCAGACCCCAAAGGCGTCAATGGATATAAAACTTTTAAAAAGAAACACCAGGAGGATTCTGGCTAAACACACAATAGGATTCATTTTTTTTTTGCAGTACTAGCATTTGAACTCAGGGCCCACACCGAGAGCCACTCCACCAACCCTTTTTGTAAAGGGTTTTTTTTCAAGATAGGGTCTTGCAAACTATTTGCCAGGGCTGGCTTCAAACCATGATCCTCCTGATCTCTGCCTCCTGAGTAGCTAGGATTACAGGCATGAGTCATGGTACCCAGCCCTATCAAGAATCTTGCTGAAGACAGACCAGGGTTTCAGGCATCAGTGGGGCTTGATGGAGCTGGATGAGGAAACTGACCAGATACCCAGGAAGATCAGATATCAGGAATCAGATATTAAGATGACTTAGAAGGTTTTTGTGCTGGATGTTCAAGGAAGTGGACAGATGGTGCTGGCAGAAGACTCAGAAGCTTGATGAGTTTGCCTCATTTTCTTTTGCAGCTTTCGGCATTCCATTTTTAGTCCTCGTATCTTGACTACATGTGATGTAGATGTTTCTGTGGTTGGGTCTGTTTATGGTTCAATGCACCTCGTGTATTTGGATATCCATGTCGTCCCCTAGATTTGGGAAAATCTTTGTTACAGTTTCATCGCATAGGATTTCTGTGCTTTATTTGTGTCTCAGCTCCTCCTTCTACCCCTATGGATTGCTAGGTTTTATCTCTTGATCACCCCACAGAGGTCTGGAAAGCTGTGGTCATGCAGGTTTATTTCTCTGTTGCTTTCTGAACGTAATAGCTCTTCAACTTTGACTTCAATATCTGAAATTCTTTCTTCCACTTGCTCTAGTATATTGACAAAATTTCCACTGTTTTTATTTGATTGATTGAGGTTTTCATGTCCAACATTTCTGATTACTTTTTTTTCCAGAATCTCAGTGTCCTTGCTGAATTTCTCACCCCTGTTGCTGACTTTCTAATCCAGGTCTTCGTTGGACATTCTCCTTCATTCAGCTGTTTGTTTGGATCCTTTTTGAGGTCATTGGTCATTTTTAGAAGTAGATGTTTGAATTCTTTGGCATTTCAGCCATTTCAGTACTTACGGTTTCACAATTAAGCAGTTGTGAGCTTTGGAGGAGTCACACGGCCCTGCTTTTCATATCTCCCATGTTTTTAGGGCGTGATTTGTGCGTGTGTTGGGATGGGCATCTCCTCCAGTTTTATTTGATTGACTTCTTGGTGACCACTCTTGTTTTGAGGGCTCAACTCCAGGACCGCTGAGAGAGGAGAAAACCAGCCACATAGCAGTGGTAACTGCGTTCACTTTAGAAGCTTCCTCTATTGTTTACCTCTTTGTGTACCAGGAGTCACTGCTGGTCACAAGGCTCTTTAATGCCCATGAGCTGGGCAAGTTCCTTCTAGTACCACAGGAACTCCAGCGTGTGCCCAGGGGGCAGCAAGTGTCCAAGCCTAGAGGTGACCCCCAGATGCATCAAAGTATAGGTACAAAAGCAGAGCAATGGTTTCTGAACATTCTAAATGGGTATAAATGAGGGAACCAGACTCAATCCTAGCCACAGAAAGCAGGACCACCGGTCACCATTCCTAGCCCTACCTGTGTACCTTACTGCTTACACTTCTCAGTTCTTCTATGTCAGCCCTCCTGCTTCTGCAACCACCTCTTATAACCATCACCCCCTCAGACTCTGTGGCAGGATGACCCAGGGACTTCAGCCACAATTGTTCTTTGTTTTCAGGTTCTCAGGATAGCTCTGTGTCAAGAATAAGCCCTTTTCAAGATTGAACCTGACTTTAGCACTCTGAGATATGGGGAGAGACTTTTTTTGCTTTTCCAGTGCTTGTCTTCGGAAGGAAGGGGTCACTGTCACACTAAATCCACACACTGGGTGTAAGGTTTACATGAACTGTGGGTTTTTCCTGTGGTTAGGTCCGCCAAGACATTCTTTCCACATTTGCCTGGCTTATTTTTTAGTTATGGCTTTGGATTCCAGTCCTGTCTCTGAGCCAGGATCGCAGCTTCTCGCTGTTTCTTCTTTGCTCCTAGGTCACGTGTCTGTTTCTTATGCTTTTCAGAAGTCCTGTCGCTTTTGTCCTAATTCTCAAAGCTCTTCTTCTCTTTGGACCACAGCTCCTACTTTGTTTTGCTGAGTCTCCCATGCATGAGTCACGTGGAAGAAGTGTCAAATCCACTCTCTTGCCACTTGCCCCCCATCTTTCTGTTTCTAATGTGTGAATTTTTTGTGAGTAGAGTCAATCCTGCAATTATGGTCTAAAGACAGAGCTAAAGGTGCCAGTGGTTCACTAGGAGAAAGAGTGGGTGGCCTTCTGGCTGTCCCTGGATAAGACTTCAAGATCAAATACCGGCACCTGATGAGGGCCTGCTTTCTGTGTCATAAGGCAGGAGGGGAAAAAGAGTGAGCACCAGACACAAAAGAGGCTGGACTTGTCCTTGTAAGGAGCACATTCCCTAGATGACTAACCATCCAGGGACAGGATGTGTTCAAGCTTTATCACGCCTAAGGAGTCAGAGGACCCACACATCCCTCCCTGTGTCCAGGACAGCCAATCGCCTTGTAAGAGGTGGCGAGCGGGCAGGGCAGCTAGCAGGCTTAAAAGCCTGAGTCCAGGCTACAGGGTCAGATGCTTGCAGGACAGCCATCTTTGAAGAGCAGAGTCTTGGGAGTGCACCTGCACCTGAGGATTACACCTGCACAACTTCAGCCACCTCAGGTGAGTGTCCCCAGCCTCACTGAGTCATGGTGGGAACCGGGAATGGAGGAGGGGACCCAAGCATGGATGTAGTCAACGAGGCGGATGCACCCTACAGAAACAAGAGCATCTGGACCAACACTGGCAGTTGGGAACTTGGGGAAGGATGGCAGGGGAATCTAGGGTGTCACCATGACCGCACAGAAGCACAAGTCCTGGCCAGGTAAGATAAGAGAGCTGGGTGCTCACAAACCAGGCTGAGATGCTTACTGTCCTCGCACGACTAGGTCATAGCCTTTCGCTGACCACTCCCAGCTAACAGGCTTCAAATTCTAAGAGATGAGCTAAAGGCAGAATCTGGTGACATGTCCTTGGACAGTCAATACCCAGAATCCCACAGGGGAGACCTGCCCCAGGCCTGAGCCTGGGGCCCTGGGAGCTACCTACCGGTGTTCAGGAGCTGCTGTTGTTGATGCTTCCATTTGCTTGGCCCCATGACCCTGTCCCCAGCTGGGGTAGAGAGTGGGGAGTTGGAGGCTGATAGGTGAAAATGCTGGAGTGTTGGATGCTGCCCTTCCCAGACTCTCTAGAAGGACATTCCAGAAGGGTTTCACTCAAGAAGGGGAGGCTCCATGGCATAGCCCATCTCCTGCTGGGCATTCACCTTGATGAAGGTGGAGGTGTTCTCCCAACCCTTGGGGTTATCTTTCCCCTGCCTCCCAGCTAGTGAGGTTTTGTTTGATTGACAAACCTGGACCAACTGTTTCCTACTTCTAGCTGTTGGCTTGAGCGTCTGACCCACAGGCACGTCAACACCGTACTCACTCTAACTGACCACTGCATACTCTGTTTCTACTCCTAGAGTTCTGGACAGGCTGATGTTCATTTTGTTGTGTCAACCAAATACCTCCACTTGGCTGGTTTAATCCAAACTACATCCTCAGCCGTTTACAAAGTTTCTAGGAAAATACTTTCAGGAACAATTTAAATACTGTTTTTCCTCCATGGTGTCCTTCATTTCTCAGGTAGGAAAAAGAAGGCTGCTATAAAAGGCTTGGTCCAATGAGTCCCTGATTTCTTTTTCCTTTCTAGGCTTTGAAACAGGATCCTTTTCAATTCCTCGGCATCCTTTGCTTGGGAATGGCGTCCGATGCCCCAACACTTAATCACACTTTGGATGTGCAATGGGAGGAGTGGAAGACAAAACACAACAAAACCTACAGCAAGGTTGGTCACATTGAGAGTGTCCGTGGGGACCCCAGAAATGGAATAACTTCTAGGAGCCAGTTCTTACCAAAGCAGCAAACTAGTGACACCTGTTGTGAGCAGAATGTGGGAAGCACGCCTCTTGTCTCTGGATATTTTTGTTTTCAGAAGGTCAAAGCTATTCCTAGCCACGCTGTTATGTCATCTTTTTTGGGCGGTGGGTTTTAAACGAGAGACCATCACTTGTCCTGATTTCTAGAATGAAGAAGGACAGAGGCGAGCAATATGGGAGAACAATTTGAAAATGATTGAGCTGCACAACGAGGAGTACATCCAAGGGAAACACGACTTCACGCTGGCAATGAACGCCTTCGGAGACATGGTAGTGTGGTGTGCCTCGCTGAACCTGTGCTTTCTCTCCTCCGCTCTTTCCAAAATCGCCTCTTGCTTTAACGTGCCCTGCACTCTCTTTGAAGACGAATGAAGAATTCAGCGAGCAGTGGAATGGCTTTGGAATCCAGAAGCAGGAGCTGGAAAAAGTGTTTCAGGAATGTTTGTCACGAGATGTGTCCAACACTGTGGACAGTCGAGAAGAAGGTGATGTAACTCCTGTGGATGACGAGGTATGGCATCGGGTACGACACTGTCACATTCAGCCCTTCCAATGTCCACAGGACAGCCAAGAAGGCATTGCCGCTTCCTTTAGGTGACTGTGGAGCGACTTGCAGTTCACTTTTTCTTTTTAGAGACTAGCAGACATTGCTGTTCAGGTCTTGCTTTGTGCTTGATGCCTTTTATTCCCTCTCCAGGAGACATGTGATTCTTGCTGTGCTTTTAGTGAGACTGGGGCCCTAGAAGGACAGCTGTACAGGAAAACTGACGACCTGTTCTCAGTGAGTGAGCAGAACCTACTGGACTGTTCTTCCTCTCAAGGAGATGGTGACTGCACAAGCAGGCAAGTCCGGTACAGACTTCCAGGACGTGAAAGACAATAGAGGACAGGACACGGAGGAATCCCAGCCTTATGAAGGCAAGGTAAATGGAGCTCCTTACTGTGGTGTCGTTCCTGCTCTGGTTGAGGAAAGTGAAACGACCTCCGAGATAAAAGTCGCCTTCTTCAGAATTCCCCTCTAGATGGGAGAATCCGATGTGCCCTGAGTGAGGTCACTCATTATGAAAGATTAGCCTGGCAGAGCTCTGGGGTGACATGGTTGACACACAGGCGATCTCATTTGTGTCTCATTTGTGTGTAACACAGAAGCATTTCTCATTAGCATGTCTTATTAAAGACACGCGAGCTGTTTTTCAGTATCAAACAGCAGCGTTTCACTTCCTGGGATGATTTATGACAGCACTGACTTGGAAACCCTGAGATGCAACCTGCTGAGTGCTGTGCTCCCAACCCATGCTCCACGAGGTGGAAGGGAGCTCCCCTTTGCTTTTAAAAGAGCAAAATCTTAGATTATTTCTGAGATCTGGTTTTCTGATGTGGGTGCTCACAGCTGAGCCTTCCCTCAAGTCAGGAGTTAGTCTTATCAGTGTCGATGTGCCTCATTCTCTCTATTTAGTGGAGAATTTGCTCTTCCTTTAGCTGGAGTAAGAAATGGGGCATGGACAGCTACGTGAAGATCTCAGAGGCCAGGACGACCGCTGTGGGATTGCCACATGGGCCAGCTACCCCACTGGGTGAGCTCCTGGATGGTGATAGGAAGGCCTCGACCGTGGACATCATGCCCAGAAGAGGGACTTTTTCTTTAAGGTGACAGCTCCTACTGTGTAGGATCCAACACTTGAGTCACTGATGAGTTGTGATGTGAATTCTGTGACATTTTTAGAGCAGTGAAATGATTCCACTACATAGTAACTGACATAAGTAGATTGGAATTATTGATTCACCTAAAGAATGCATTGACTCATTTGATAATAAAATTTAAATTTTGTAAACGTGAGCTAGCTCCTTGTTTTTCATGCACTGGTCCAATACACAGTCAGAGTTGAAGGTGTCAGTCGTGCACCAGGACGAAGAGAGGGTGACTTCCGGCTCCTCCACTCACGCATATGCAGACCTTATCTCAGGTGCCCTGTGTCAAACCCTAACCTTGAGTGGAGCAAAATTTGACAAAGGATTTATGAGCACAAAGGAAAATTGTTTGAATACAGAAAATCACATTTCTGAGAAACAAACAGGAAGTTATATGATTTTGCTACTATGAAAGGGCTTGGGAGATCCGGTTCATTAACGAAGTGGTTGCAGCCCCATCAGGTTATGGGACCAAAGATGTGGATCCAGTTTTTCCCAAGCATGTATAAAGTCCTGGAGGCCATGTCACAGTCAGGGAAGGCCAGGACACTGGTGGGTGGCCAAGGAGGATAGGATTCCTGGGTGAAGGCTGTGCTTCAAACATGGTACCATAGTCTTAGAAGGTGGAAGACAGATGGAAGGATCAGAAGTGAGGGTCTGAATATACATTAAACCAAGCTATTTATAATCCTCGAATTATGAAATAAAAGTAGGAAAATCTCTCCACATTGTGTTGGTTTAGAGCACATAGTTTTATCAACTACGTATTTCCAGAATCTCACGTTCCCACACAAGAAAACACAAAGAGGGTGCGGAATTACTCAGTGGACAGACTCCATCATCCCTGCGGAGGGACAGAGGAGGAAACTGGGGCTGCCGCCCACAGAGCCTACAGCAGACTCCAGCAAGTCCTTCTGGGCTGGACCATGTGCCAGGCTGGAGTCTCATCCGCCCTTCCCGACTAGTTGACATAGCCTCTAAATTTTAACAAATGTTCCATTAGGAGTGAATTTCCTTGGGTTTTAATACATGAGTATGCAGTCAGGTTGAAGAAGATGTGAGAGTCCTCTGCTGATTCTTCTCTCTAGGGTGGAGAATAGATTTGATTCAACCACAACTGATGTAGTGTCCACTATGAGCCAGTCATCCCCACTGTGGGAGGGACAGTCCCCACCTCATTGAGTGGGTGCTGCTGGGGGAGTGAGGCAGTCAGGGAGGACTTCCAGGAAGAAGGGATGCAGACACTTTTCAGAGTAGCCAGTCACTGAGAACAGAAGAGCTGAGTGACTTAGCAGAAACAGGAGGTCAGCACCGTGAGGCAGGACACGGTTAAAGACCCTATGGGCGTGATTGGGTTGTCAAGGTGCTGAGGCGTGAGTACGGGAGGACACAAGTTCTTAGGACACAGGGGACCTCCTGGATAATGCAGTGAAGAGATCAAATTCTAGCCCTCACTTCTTGTACCACGAATGCCCTGGAAACACAGCAGCGTGGAGAAAAACGTCTTTCACACTTGCTGGCTGGACCCAGCTGTGTGGTTGTCATATGGAGCTCTGTCTTCATGCTGGTGACATCGGAGGTGTGGCGGGCTGGGCATCCTCGAAGGCTCACTCGGTGGTGATGGATGCTGGTGCTGATGGCCTTCAGCTCAAGCCGGTGACCAGAGCTCCCCCAGGGGCCTCCCAGTGGTTTGGACTTCCCACACCGTAAACCTGGGAGCTACACCTAATTCATACAGATATTCCACCTGGATCAACTTTAAACAGCAACTTTCACAATTACTCATGGGCATCCGAATTTGAACACAAATTAAGAAGGAAAAACACTTCCTAGAAATACAGTCCCTTTTCACCAGTAGTACCTTTGTAAACTTTCACAATTCATGTGTTTAAATGGCTATTTTTTTTTTTTGCATATATGCCTACAACTGTCTATAGGTCACCTTCATGAGGTGGTGCTTGCTGGGCTGGGGACACAAAGAACCAGGTAATCCTGGTCCCTCCCTTTGGACCTGCCATTCCCCTGGGGGCAGCCAGCACTTCCAGCATGGCGGGAGCCCACGTGCAGTGGTCATGGGCTCTGAAAGGAGCAGAGGACACTGGAGCAAGTGTCAGGGATGCAGTGCCCTCTTGGGGTCACAGAGGGTTCGAACTATTATCATATGGTCATATCTCGAGAGACTTGTGTCATCTGCAGGACCTGAGATGAGGAGGACGTTTCTATTTGTGCTGGGTTATCTCAATTTTGATGTAATAAACTCTCATCTGTTTCATGAGCTAATCCATTCCAGAAAAAATACAAATTGATAGATCAGAAGGAAGAGAATCCGGAGAAGGAAAAGTTCTCAGTTCATAAAGACAGGTGTTCCATGTGAGAGCTTGTTTCCATGACTCACAGTGACCATGCTCAGTCAGTCCTCTCACACGGCATGGACGGAGGAACCTCCACTGGCCAGGTGACACACGAGGACAAGTACTGTGTGCTTCCACACAGAGTGTGGTGCCAAGCAGTGTGTCTTCGTGGGTTTTGAGTTGCCATCAGAAAATACCACAGACTGAGATGAACACAAATGACTCCAGTGAACACAATGGCTGATAGTTTCCTAGTTGCAGGGCTGGAGGTCCATTGTCGAGGTGACAGCATTTGGCAAGGGCCTTCTTGCTGGGTCATGACATGGTCATAGAAGGGCAGAAAGGGGAGAGCACCAGAGACAAAAGGGGTCTTGAACTTGACGTTATAAGAAACCCATTCACTTGATAAGAAACCCACTCTTATCCTGGGTTGGACAGATGCTCGTCCCTTCCCAGGGAGGCACCTGCAGCAGCTGAGGCCACCCCAGGTGGGTAAAACCAGCCTCACTGGTGAATGGCAGGTCCAGGCACTGGGAGGAGGGGACTTCTGCAGGGACAGGGTCTAGGTGGCAGACACAACACCTGAGGAATGAGAACTTCTACCCCTGCCCCGCGGCTTTGTGGTGAGGATGCAGAAGACGGTGACTGGGAACCCAGGGAGGCTTTGGGACCACTCAGTTGATCTCAGCTTGTGCACGACACTCAGCCTCTGGATGTGGCCAGGCCAGACAGGGCAGCTCCGCTTTGCTGACCTGGCTCCCCGTGTCACCACAGAGACTGTGTAACACCTTCTGCTTCAGTGGATCGTACAGAGGGTGAGGCAGGGGTATGCCCTATTCCAGGCTATCAGAGTACATTTTGAGGGGCCCAACCCTGACCCCCTCCAACCAGAAGCTGAAACTGGTGGCACTGGCTTCCAATGGCTTGGCCACATGACCAAGAAAGGTTTCACCCAGGAAGGGGATGGCTGCAAGAAGAAGAAGGTGTCAGGTGGCTGCCTAACTCTGAGACTATTAGGATAAGACGCCTGTTAGCCACATGTTTCCTGGATGACCTCTGCTCCATTGGTACAGAACCTAGAGCAACAGGTTCCTAGGGTCCTTGTATGTTGCATTCAGCTTCTGACCCCATGGGAACGTGGATGGACGCCCTTCTCCTCACATGAACTGTGATTGCCTGCACTGTGTCACCTCCTAGAGCTCTGGACGGGTGCCCTCTATGTTGGTGGCTTGACTGAATACATCCACTTGGCAGTTTCAACCCTGCCTTTTCCATAGCATTTGGGTTAACACTTGAAAGAAGAGCTTCAATATTTCATCCACCATGGCGTCCTAATGTCTCAATGGGAATCAGAGGGCTGTGATGGAAGCACTGGTGTCATCACACCCTTGTTTCTTTCCCCTTTCTAGGTTGTGAAGCAGGAAGCCTCATCTCTTCCTCGCCACCCTTTGCTTGGGGGTGACCTCAGCCACTCCAACACCGGATTGCACTTTGGATGCACAATGGGAGGAGTGCAAGACAAGACACAGCAGAACCTACAGCACGGTCGGTGACATTGCAACTGCCCAGATGGAGCCCAGAGAAAATGGTCATTGCTGTTGGGATTTTACAGCCAGTGAGGAGCTTCTAGAAGCCAGGTCTTACCAAAGCAGTAAACTAAGGACACCTGTTGTGAATGCAAAGTGAGCAGTGTCTCTGTTGTGTCTGAGCGTAGAGAACAGCTTCCGGAAGGGCGCTTAGTCCTCCCTAGACGACAGTTCCCTTCGTCTTTGTCAGCAGGTCCACGTGGTAATCTTGGGTAAGAGAGACCATCACTTGTACTGATTTCTAGGATGAAGAAGGACAGGGGAGAGCAGTGTGGGAGGAGAATTTGGAAATGGTTGAGCTGCACAATGAGGAACGCAGGCAAGGGAAACACAGCTTCACCATGGCGACGAACGCCTTTGGGGACCTGGGGAGTGTGACATGCGTTGCTTAATCTGTGCTTCTCCTCGGTCCTTTATGTAATGACCTCTTGTTTTTCACAGGTACTTTGTTCTCTTTGAAACCAATGAGGAATCCAGGCAAGCGAGGAATGGCTTTGAACTCCAGAAGCCCGAGGAGGAGGGGAAAGTGTTTTAGGAATTTATGTTACAAAATGTCTCCAAATCCATGGATTGGAGAGAAAAGGCTTTGCAACCCCTGTGAGGGAACACGTATGACACTGTCACATTCAGCCCTTCCAGTACCCACAGAAAAGCCAAGAAAAATGAACATCTTTACTTTGTACACGGTGGCTCGGCCTTCAGCTCACTCTGTTCTTTGGCAAGGAAATTCCTGAACTGGGTGTGGTGGTGCAAACCTGTAATTCCAGACCTCTGAAGACTGAGGTGGGAGGGCCGTAAGGGTGAGGTTCAGCCTGCACTGCAAAGCAAGACTGTCTCCAAATTTCACAAAAAGCTCAAGCAAAGTCACGTGAGCTGTTGTCAACGTCACGCTGCCTGATGCGAAGGAGAGACTCGCATTCGGTTCCCAGGGCAGGTGTGATGCCTGTGGGGCTTTCAGTGTGACTGGGACCCTAAGAGGGCAGGTGTGCAAGACTGGTGTCCACGAGCGAGCAGAGCCTACCGCGCTGTTCCTCGTCACGGGGAAGCCGTGGCTGCAGTGGTAGGCACGTCGGCAAGGCCTTCTGGACTGAGAGGAGTCCCTGCAGCCTGCGTCCGAAGCCTCATGGAAATCTGATCGCTTTGACTTTCTAGATAAGTTGCTATTTTTCTTTTGAAGTTGTCGATTGGTCTTTCTTTGCCTCTCAGTCTTTTGAATATACTGACACAGGGAAATTCTTCCCGGTTGTGTCCATTTGTAGGTTCCACAGGCCTCTTGGATTTGGACACCCAGGTCTTTCCCTAGATTTGGGGAATCCTTTGCTACGATTTCACTGAACAGGGTTTCTGTGCCTTCAGTTGGTCTCTCAGCTCCTTCTTCCAGCCCCACGTGCTTAGGTTTTATCTCGCGATCACGACCCAGAGTTTCTAAGAGACGTGGCCAGGCGGCTTCATTTTTTAAATTGCTGTCTGAATGTAGTATGGCTTCAACTTTGTCTTCCATGCCAGAAATTATTTCTTCTGCCACTGGCAGTAATTTACACTGCTTTTGACTCGATTTGTTCATTTACAACATTTCTGACTTCTTCTTGTTGTTTGCAGAATCTCAAAGTCCCTCCTGAATTTCCCATCCGTGTCGCTCACTTTCTAATCCAGGTTTTAGTTGGCCACCTACTTCATTCACAGTTTGTTTGGGGTCACTGATGGTTTTTAGAGGTAGATATTTGGGTTCTTCGGCTTTCAGCCATTTTAACACCTTTGGATTCAGTAATTGAGGAGCTATGAGCACGTGGAGGAGTCACGTGACTGTGCTTCTCATGTCTCCTGTGTTTTTAGGGCGTGATTTCTGCGTGTGTTGGGATGGGCATCTCCTCCAGTTTTATTTGATTGACTTCTTGATGACCACTCTTTTCTTGAAGGCTCAATCTCCAGGACCACTCAGAGAGGAGAAAAGAAGCCACATAGCAGTGGTAACTGCGGTCACTTTAGAAGATTCTCTTTTTTAATTTTTTATTTACTTACTTTTATTGTTGTGCAGGGTGGGAGTACACTGTGGCATTTACAAAAGTTCTTACAATATATCAAATACATCGTACTTGAATTCCCACCCTCCACCATTTTCCTTCATTCCTCTAACCCCCACACCCCATTCCTGGAATAGTTTCAACAGGTCTCATTTTCCCGTTTTCATTCATGAGTGCATAATATTCCACCATAGTCACCCTCCTATACCCTTTCCTTATGGTGCCAGCCTCCAAAGGATCTGTTTTACCTTCCTGTTCTCTGATATTGTATAGGAAAAGAAGAAATAAATGACATTTTGTTTGTGTAAGATAGCTATACCGGAGTTTCCTTGTGACATTTCCATGGAATGTGTTATAGCCTGATTTGGTTCATCTCCTCTATTTTTCTCCTTTCTGTCTTCCTTTCTTGTGATTTCAACAGGTTTAAATATTCTATATTTATTCTTGCACACAGAGTACATCAACCATATTCACCTTAACTTCCTTCTTTCACCCTCCCCCTCGCTTATGTGACCTTTCTTAGTGTGACCTGTTTTTCATAGGATTGCTGTATTTGCTTTAGGTCTATATTCCATACTAACTTCACTGAAGATGATGTTCTCCAGTTCCATCCACCTACCTGCAAATGGCAAAATCTCAGTCCTCTTTGTGGCTGCATAAAACTCCATTGTGTATAGATACCACATTTTCTTAATCCATTTGTCGGTGGTGGGGCATCTTGGCTGTTTCCATAACTTGGCTATTGTGAATAGTGCCGCAATAAACATGGGTGTGCAGGTGCCTCTGGAGTAACCTGTGTCACAGTCTTTTGGGTAAATCTCCAGGAGTGGGATTGCTGGATCATATGGCAGATCTATGTTTAGTTTTTTAAGAAGCCTCCATATTGTTTTCCAGGGTGGTTGTACTAGCTTGCATTCCCACCAGCAGTGTATGAGGGTTCCTTTTCCCCGCATCCTCACCAACATTTGTTGTTGGTGGTGTTTTTCATGCAAGCTATTGTAACAAGGGTGAGGTAGAAGCTTAGTGAGGTTTTGATTTGCATTTCCTTTATGGCCAGGAATGTCGAGCATTTTTTTTTGACTAGCTGGACTTCTTCCCTTGAAAAAGCTTTGCTCCGTTCATTTGCCCATTTCTTCATTGGGTGGTTCATTTTGTGGAAGTTTAGTTTTTTGAGCTCCCTGTATATTCAGGTTATTAATCCCTTATCGGCTGTATAGCTGGTAAAGATTTTCTCCCATTCTGTGCACTGCCTCTTGAATCTGGTGACGCTTTCTTTTGTTGTGCAGTAGCTTTTTAGTTTCATGTGGTCCCATTTGTCCATCCTTTCTCTCAGTTGCTGAGCCACTGGAGTTCTGTTTAGGAAGTCATTGCCTATGCCTGTAAGTTCCAGAGTATTCCCTACTCTTTCCTGAACTAACTTCAAAGTTTCAGGTCTGATACTATGGTCCCGAATCCACTTTGAGTTGATATTTGCACAGGGTGAGAGACGTGGGTCTAATTTCAGTTTTCTATATGTGGATAACCACTTTTCCCAGCAATATTTATGAAGAGGGTGTCTTTTCTCCATCGTATGTTTTTGGTGCCTTTGTCAAAAATAAGGTAGGCATAGCTGTGTGGCTTCATATCCGGGTCCTCTATTCTGTCCCACTGGTCTTCATATCTGTTTTTGTGCCAGTACCATGCTGTTTTTATTGCTATTGCTTTGTAATGTAGTTTGAAGTCAGGGCTTGTGATTCCTCCAGCGTTGCTCTTTTTGCTCAGTATTGCCTTGGCTGTTCCCAGACTTTGGTGCATCCAAACGAACTTTAGGGTAAAATTTTTCAGTCTCTATGATGACTGTCATTGGGATTTTGATGGGAATAGCATTGAACGTGTAGATTGCTTTTGGTAGTATTGCCATTTTCACAGTATTGATTCTGCCAATCCACGAGTATGGGAGATGTCTCCATCTTCTGTGGTCTTCTTTCTTTCTTTCTTCAATGGTGTATAGTTTTCATTGTAGAGATCTTTTGCTTCCTTTGTTAAGTTTATTCCCAGGTATTTTTTTGAGACTATCATAAATGGAATTATTTTCCTATATTATTTTCCAGTTTATGCATTGTTGGTGTATAGAAAGGCTAGTGATTTTTGTAAGTTGATTTTGTATCCTGCTACTTTGCTGAAGGTGTTTATGGTGTCTTGAGTTTTTTGGTGGAGTTTTTTTTTTTTTTTGGATCTATTAGGTGTAAGACAAGTCATACAAAGAAAGGTAGTTTGACTTTTTCCTTTCCTATTTGAATTCCTTTTATTTCTTCCTGTCTCATTGTTCTGGCTAGGAATTCCAGGACTATGTTGAATAAAAGTGGAAAGAGTGGATACCCTTGTCTTGCTCCTGACTTTAGAGGAAATTATTTCAGTTTTTCCCCATTTAGTATGACATTGGCTATAGGCAATATATATATATATTTAATATATTGTCATATATAGCCTTTATTGTGTCAAGGTACATTCCTTTTAATCCTAGTTTCATCAGAACTTTTATCAGGAAATTTTGTGGAATTTTGTTAACGTCCTTTTCTGTTGAGGTGATTTTATAGTTTTTGTCTTTGCTTCTGTTAATGTGCTGTGTTATATTTAACAATTTGTGTATGTTGAACCAGGCCTGCATCCCTGGATGAACCCAACTCGATCATGATGGATGGCTTTTTATATATATTGTTGAATTCAGTCTGCAGTATGTTATTGAGATTTTTGCATCTAAGTTCATTAAAGACATTGACCTATAAATCTCTTTTTGTTGTGTTTGGGGACAATGCTGGCCTCACAGGATGGTTTGGGCAGCATTCGTTCCCTTTCTATTTCATGGAATGGCTTGAGGGGGGTTGGTGTCAGTTCTTCTTTAAAGGTCTGGTAGAACCCAGCAGAGAATCCATCAGGTCCTGGACTTTCCTTTTTTGGGGAGAATTTTTATTGCTGCTTCATTTTCATTGCTTGCTATAGGCGTGTTTAGGTGATTTATATCCTCTTGGTTCAATTTTAGTTGATATATGTGTCTAGAAATTTAGTCATTTCTTCTAGATTAATCCTATGTATTTGAATATAGGTTTTCAGTGCAATCCCTAATGATTCCTTGGATTTTGCTGGTGTTATTTCTAATTTTATTAATTGGGATCTTTTCCCTTCTCATGTTGGTCAGATTTGATAGGGGTTTATCAATCTTACTTTGATAGGGGTTTATCTTCAAAGAACCAGCTTTTTATTTTGTTGATTCTTTGTATGGTTTTTTTTTGTTGTTGTTGTTTCTATTTCATTGATTTTGGTCCTTATTTTTATTATTTCTCTCCTGCTTATTTTGGGTTTAGCTTGTTCTTGTTTTTCTGAGTTTGAGATGCAGCATTAGGTCATTTATTTGAGATCTTTCTGTGTTTTTAATATATGCACTCATATATCAACTTTCCTCTTAGGACTGCCTTTGCTGTGTCCCATAGGTTCTGGTAGGTTTTACTTTCATTTGCATTAAATTCCAGGAATTTTTTTTATTTCTTCCCTCATTTCTTTGGTGACTCACTGGTCATGGAGCAATGTGTTGTTCAGTCTCCAGGTGATTGAGTATTTTCTGCTGTTTCTTTTATTGTTGAGTCATAGGTTTATTCCCTTGTGGTCAGGCAATATGCAGGGGGTTATTTCAGTTTTCTTATATTTGTTGATACTTGCTTTGTGACCTAAAATATGATCTACTTTGGAGAAAGTTCCATGGACTGCTGAGAAGAATGTACATTGCAGGATGGAATACTCTGTAGACATCTGTCAGGTCCATTAGATCTATGTTGTCATTCAATTCTAGAATTTCTTTGTTGATTTTTTGTCTGGATCACCTATCTATTGGTGATGGTGGAGTACTGAAGTCTCCCCCATCGCTGGGTTAGGGTCTGCCTGTGTTTAATGAAGTTGGGTACACCAACATCGGGGGCATATAAGTCAGCAATTGTTATTCCTTCTTGATGTATTGCTCTTTTTATTAGCACGAAGTGACCTTCTTTGACTAATTTAGGTTTGAGGTCTACTTTAGCTGATATGGCCACCCAGAGGTTCCCAGATTGTAGAATTCGGTCACACTCAGGATCTGGTCATGTGGGATACAGCAGCTGGGTGTCTGGAAACCAGGCTGTGATGCTAGCCCTCCTGTACCACCAGGTAACATCCTCTTGTCTGTCCCTAACAGGTAACATCCTCTGGACTCTAGGGTACATACAGAGGGCTGAAACTGTTGACATGTCCTTGGACAGTCCCTGTCCAAAGTTCCACATGGGCGATCTGTCCCAGACATGAGCCTGGAGCTCTGCTGCCTGCCCCTGTCCGATAATGGCACTGTGGTTCCAATTCCACTTGGTTGGCCATATGAGCATCCCTCAAAGGGGTGGCAAGTGGGGAGTTGAGGCTGGTGTGGGAAACTGAGGGAGTGTTGGGTGCTGTCCTTTCTCCAGGAAAGGCATTTCAGAAGAGTTTCACTGACAAGACATAGCTCATCTCCCCCATGTATCAGCCAAGAGAAATGTGTGAGGTCTTCTCCCAACTCTTGGGGATATCTTTGCTTCTAAACAGACTCCAGCATTCCAATTAGTGAGGTTTTGTTTGAATGAAAAAAATCTGGACCAACCTTTTCCTACTTCCCAGTTGTTGACTTAAGCTTCTGGCCCATGGGTGCATCCCGCCATTCTCAAATCCTAAATTATCACTGCACATCCCATTTCAACTCTTAGAGATCTAGTGGACTGCTGTTCATTTTGGTGTGTCAACCAAATACCTCCACGTGGCTACTTTAGTCTAAACCAGATCCTCATCTATCCCGAGAACAGCTGAAATATTTATATTCCACCAGGGTGTCCTTCATTTCTCAGAAGGGAATAACAAGGTGTTCTAGCAGCACTGGTCTAATCGCACTGGTCTTCTCTTCCCTTTCTAGATTCTGAAGCATGAATCCTCTTCTCTTTTCCTCACCGTCCATTGCCTGGGGAAAGCCTTGGTTGCTCCACTCACACTTTGGATGCACAATGGGAGGAGTGGAAGACAAAACCTACAGCATGGTAGGTCACATTGAAAGTGTCCAGAGGGACACTTTTTTCCCTTCTTTTTGGGACTTTAATGCCAGGGAGAGGCTTCTAGAAGCCAGGTCTTAACCTAATGACACCTGTTGTGAGCAGAATGTGGGAAAAAATGCTGTCATCTATTAGACATTTGTAGCTTCCAGAAGTTCAAAGCTACCGTCCACACTGTCACTTACCTCTGTTGGGGTGCGTTTCAAGTGAAAGAGACTATTGTTTGTACTGATTTCTAGGATGAAGAAGGACAGAGGCGAGCGGTATGGGAGGAGAATTTGGAAATGATTGAGCTGCACAGTGAGGAATGCAGACACGGGAAACACGGCTTCACCATGGGGATGAAGCCTCGGGGACCTGGGGAGTGTGGCGTGCATTGTGTAGTCCGTGCTCCCTCTGCTTGGCACGTTGCAGAATGGCCCCTTGCTTTACGAGTTCTTGTAGACTAGTCAGGATTCAGGCAGGTGAGGAGTGGTTTTCAAATCCAGAAGCAGAAGAAGTTGGAGAAAGTGTTCCAGGAACTTCTGTTTCAGCACGTCCCCAGTGGTATGGGCTGCAGAGAGAAAGGCTCTGTGCTCCCGGGAAGAATCAGGCGTGACGCCGTCCCTTCCCGCTCTTCAGTGCTGCAGCAACGCCAAGAAGGCATCGATGTTTCCTTTAGGAGAGTGCGGAGCGACATGTGAGTCACTTTTGCATTTTAAAGGATATTCAAATGTATGAGTCATTGTCGAAGTTTTGGTATTTGCTTTGAGAATGACAGCTTTTTATGCCCACCCCAGTGTGATAGGGCGTTTAGTGCAACTCAGTCCCTAGAAGGGCAGATGTTCCAGAAAACTGGCAAACTGTTCTCAGTGCATGGACAGAACCCAGTGGAATGTTCCCATCCTCCAGGCAATAATGGCTGCTTATTGCATTATTGTTATTGGATTATTATTATTATTATTACTGGATTATTCCCCTGCCACATTACAGACAACGGGGACCTGGACATCAGGGACACCTAACCTCACGATGCCAGGGTCAGTGGAGGCCCTTCCCGTGGTGTCGTTCCTGCTCGGGCTGTGGAAGCTGAAACGACCTCAGAGATAAAAGTCGCCTTCTTCAGAATTCCCCTCCAGATGGGGGAATCCGATGTGCCCTGGCCTGGCAGAGCTCTGGGGTGACATGGTTGACACACAGGCGGTCTTGTTCCCATGTACCACAGCGCACAAGCACACTGATCTACAGCTAATGCGTCTCTCCCCGTGAAAAGTTTCCAGGAACAGGAATATGTAGTGAACCTCATTAAGGAGAGTTGAGCTAATCTTCAGTCGCAAATTACACACAGCATTTCACTTCCTGGGGTGACTTATGACACCACTGATTGCAAACCCTCAGCTGCGAACTGACGAGTGCTGTGATCCCAACCCATGTTCCAGGGAGTGGGTGGCACTCATCGAATCTTGTCCCTTTAGTTTTCCAAGGACCGACCCTGCCAGAAGAAGCCCAGGCACTGCTGCTAGTGCCACAGGGGACGTCCACGTTCCTCCCGATGAGGCTTGGCCACCCCGGGAGCCATCTCTGCTGGTCTTGATGAAAGCCTGCCTTCCTTCATGTTCTGTAAGCCAGGTAAACGTCTTTGCAGAAACTGATGCAGATAAATTGCAAAAGTACGGTGACAGCCAGCGCGACTGACTTTCGTGTGCAAACGTGAGTGTAAATGTTTTAGTGCGCGGCTTAACATCATTCTTCAGTCTGGGTGTCCTATTTCCTAGTACTGGAGAAATGTCCCCAGATATGCTTTTTATAACATTTTTACATAGCTCTGTCATTAAATGTATCTCTTATTTCTTAAACTTTCTCCAGTGACTGCATATTTTACACATTTCCGGTGATTTTAATTTTTTATTTAAATCTCAAAAGAGCTTCACGATTCAGGGAACTCTGCATTCTGGACTCTTTCCTGCAAATTGCATGCGGGGTGCCATGACAAGGTTTCAGACATGCATCTAGCCAAGCCTTTCGCCAAGGAATGTGTGCTGACTTGCACTTCTGCCAGTGTCAGATGACAGCTGACACCCTAGCCGTGGGAACAGAGGTCTCAGTCATATGTCATTCTTATAGGGTTGGAAATGTGTCCCTTCTGGTGGCAGCAGGTCACAGCCAGGATCCTGGAACCTTACCCTTAGCTGCAGTTTTATTTCCAGGCATTTATTTGGATGAAAACTGTAGCAAGATTCTCCATGGTCTTTCGTTGGCTATGGCTTTGAAGGAGCCGAGTCGGAAAACAGAAAATACTGGGTGGTCAAGAACAGGTAGAAATTGCCAAAAAACATTTCCACTGGGAAACGAAAAGAGAAGAGCTGTACGCAGTCAGAATTCACATGCAGGTCCCAGAAACCTTTGTCCCACTTAGGCTTGAGGTGGAATTGTGACGGTGTGATGGCAACATCAGGTTCTGTCTCACACTCCCAGGGTGTGTGGCGTATGTGTCATTGCTTTTCTAATTTCTCAAAAACTTCTGTACCAGATGGGGCTGGAAAAATCTTCTACCGTCACACTATCTCTAATTTTGAAATTCAGTGTAAGGTAATGATTTTAGAATTAGGGATAGAAGTTACGGGCAGATTGAGACACAACCATTTATAAAGGATGAAAAGAACGTCTACCTCCCTGAATTCTTTCTGCTAAGTGCGTGTGGCCTCTGTCACAGTGTTGAAATCAGGTGTTGACTCTAATGAAACCCAGTGTGCTTTATTCGTTCTACTAAATGGAGAATTTGCTCTGCCTTCAGCTGGGGTAAAGAATGGGGTGAGCCTGGCTCCCTAAAGATGACCAGAGATCGGGATAACCACTGGGATTGGCACCTGGGCAGCTGCCCCACTGTGTGAGCTCCTGACGGTGACAGGAAGGCATGGATTGAGGACATCATGTTTAGAGGAAGGACATTGTCATCAAATTGACAAGCACACACGGTGTCGTAGCTAACACTTGAGTCATTGATGATCCAACCTGTGATGTGAATTCTCTGACATTTTCTACTTGTGACATGGTACCACTGCTGTAAAAGTTGCCATAAACAGATTATATTACTGAATCACCTAAATAAATTGTTGACTGTATTTGGTTAATAAAATTGAAAGTTTGTAGAGGTGAAAATTTGTTCTGGTTTTAAAGCACTGATGTAATGCACTGCCATTCCTCTCTGAGACAGAACTGAATGTGCCAGTGGGGCACCAGGAGGAAGAGGGGGTGCCTTCTTTCTCCACCATTCATACATATGCAGACCTTACCTCAGGTGTCCAGGGGCTGTTTGAACCCTGTCCTAGATTGGAGGAACACTTGATAAAAGGTCTGCAAATACAAAGGAGTATTGTATGAATAAAGAAAATAATCTCTTTCCAGAAAAGCAAGCAGGATGATACGTGATTTTACTACTATGAAAGGGCCTGGGAGAGCAGGTTGATTACACCCACAATGGCTGCAGCCCCATCAGGTTATGGAATGAAAGACATGGATCCAGTTTCTGGAGCTTCTTCACCAACATTGGGTGAAGATCTGGAAGCCATGTCACAGTCAAGAAGGGACAGGACACTGGTGGGTGACCGAGGCAGATAGGATTCCTGGGTGAAGGCTGGGGTTCAAACGTGGTTCCATAGTCTTGGAAGGTGGAAGACAGATGGAAGGATCAGAGGTGAGGGTCTGAGGTTGCATTAAACCAAGCTGCAGGGAATCTTTGAATGAGGAAATACAAAAGGAGAAAAACCACTCTCCATATTTATTGGCGTAGCGCACAGAGTTCATCAACCACGATCTTCAAAGGCTCGTGTTCCCACACAAGAAAGCACAAAGATGGGGTGGAAATGCTTAGCAAATAGACTCCATCACCCCAGAGAGTGAGGTGGAAATCAGTTGAAGCCCATGAACTGAATAAACATGGAGTGGGTGCTGCTGGGGGAGTGAGGCAGTCAGGGAGGACGTCCAGGAAGAAGGGATGCAGACACCTGCCAGAAGAACGAGTCCTGAGGAAAGGAGAGTGGGTGTCTTGGCAGAAAATGGAGCTCAGCACCCTGAGGCAGGAGAAGGTGGGTAGAAGCCCCGTGGAAGAGATTGTGTGATCGAGACGTTGTGACGTGAGATGGGTGAGAGGTGGGCTCTCTGACACAGTGCCCCCAAATGGTGCAGTGAAGAGACCAAATCCCAGTTACCTCCTTCTGTACAACGAACGGCCTGGAAACACAGCAGCGTGGAGAAAAACGTCTTTCACACTTGCTGGCAGGACCCAGCTGTGTGGTTGTCATGTGGAGCTCTGTCTTCATGCTGGTGACATCGGAGGTGTGGCGAGCTGGGCATCCTCGAAGAATCACTCAGTGGTGGTGACGGATGCTGGTGCTGATGGCCGTCAGCTCAAGCCGGTGACCAGAGCTCCGCCAGGGGCCTCTCTGTGGCCTTGACTGCCACGGCATCCAACTATGGGAGCAGTACATGCTGTACACGCACACACATGCACACACGTGCACACGGGCACACAGTGCACACACATGCACATACACGCACACACATGCACACACGTGCACACACGCACACACGCGCACACACGTGCACACACATGCGCACATGCACATACATGCACACACGCACACACATGCACACGTGCACACACATGCACACATGCACACATGCGCACATACATACACACATGCACACACGCGCACACACACACATGCACATACATGCACAATGCACATACACACACACATGCACACGTGCACACACTTGCACACATGCACACACGCGCACATACATACACACATGCACATACATGCACAATGCACATACATGCACACATGCACACACAGGCACACGCGCACACACGCACATACATACACACATGCAGACACGCGCACATATGTGCACACACATGCACACGCGCACACATGCACACACGCACACACATGCACACACACGCACATGCACGCACACTCGCGCACACACACGCGCACATATGCGTACATGCACACACACGCACACATGCACACACACGCACACACGTGCACATACATACACACATGCACACACGTGCATGCACATGCACAAGCGCACACAAACGCACATACATGCACACACATGCACACACGCACACACACGCGCACATATGCGCACACATGCACACACACGCACACACACGCACACATGCACACACGCGCACACACATGCACATACATGCACACATGCACACACATGCACACTCGTGCACATGCATGCACACACACGCACACACACACACATGGACATACATACACACATGCACACACATGCACACACGCACACACATGCACACACGCGCACACACACGCGCACATATGCGCACACATGCACACACATGCACATACACGCACACATGCACACACGCGCACACGCATGCACATACACGCACACAGGCGCACACACGCACATACACGCACACACACGCACACATGCACACACGCGCACACGCATGCACATACGCACACACACGTGCACACATGCACACACACGCACACGCGCACACACGCGCACACACGTGCACACACACACACAATGTGTGTGAGCTTCTCCATTTGAAAATAGTAAGGAAAAATATTACCAGGAAACACAGCCTCTTCACTCCAGTAGTACAGTTGTAAACTTTCACGATTCATGTACTTAAATGGCTATTTTTTTTTTTTTGGCATATATGCCTACAAGTGTCTAACAGGTCACCTTTATGAGGTGATGCTTGCTGGGCAAGGGACACAAAAGTGAACCAGGTAATCCTGGTCCCTCCCCTTGGACCTGCCATTCCCCTGGGGCAGCCAGCACATCCAGCAAGGCGGGAGTCCACGTGCAGTGGTCATGGGCTCTGAAAGGGGAGCAGAGGTCACTGGAGCAAGTGTCAAGGACACAGTGCCCTCTAGTGGTAACAGAAGGTCTGAACAAGTGCCCTCTGGTTAAATCTCAAAAGTCCTGGGTCGCTTGTATGATGAGATGAGGGGCGTGTCTCTCTCTGTCCTGTGTCATTTCCATTTTGAAATAATGAGCTTTAATTTATTTCATGAGTTAAAATACGTAGTTCAGAAATACGTAGCTCCCGAAAAATGAGCGAAGAACTTATAAACCAAGGGGAGAGGAAGAGGTGAGGGAGAACAAAAGTGTCCTTAGTTCACAAGGCAAGTGTCCCAGGTGAGAGAGTTTATTCCCCAGATTCACAGTGACCGTGCTCAGCCAGTCCATCCACACAGCGTGGACAGAGGGACCTCCCCTGGCCAGGTGACCCCGTGCAGCCATGCAGGTGTCAGCACCCAGAGCTCCTCTGACAATGGTGGCCTGAGGACTCCAGCTTATTGTTCCCAGCCAAGAAAAATGGGGAGAGAGCTTTGCTAAGGGCTGAAGGAGGGAAGATAGGGAGTGTAATGTTCTCACAGCACAGTGTGACTGGGTTCATCAGTGCTCCCTTGGGTTCCAAGGCAGACTTAAGTAATTGTCCCTTTTTCTTATTAAAGGAGATTAATTTGTATTATTGGCCGACTATTTGAGAGCTTGCAAAAAACGGCCATCTTCCTGGGCATGGTGGCTCACTCCTGTAATCTTGACTACTTGGGAGGCTGATATCGGGAAGATAGTGGTTTGAGGCCAGCCTAGGCAAAAAGTTTGCAAGGCCCCATCTCAAATAGCATCTGGGCACTGTGGTGTGTTCCTGTTATCCCAGCTGTGAGGGAGGTTGGGAATGGGAGGTTTGTGTTTCCAGGTCAGCCATGGACCAAAAAGTTTGCAAGACCCCATCTCAAGACAGGAAGGTAAAACAGGTCCTATGCGGGGGAGGGACGGGGCATAAGGAGAAGGTGAAGGAAGAGGATGTGACAGAAGGATTTTGTATATACGCATTGTGAAAACAGAATAATGAAACCTGTTGAAATCGTGGTACGTAGGTGGGGCGGGGAGGAAGAAGAAATACGGAAGGGGTGAATCCAGTTAGGATATATTCTAAGCCCCGGTGTAAATGTCACAGTGTACCCCAGGAAAACTTCAGCACCCCAGTAAAAACTCCGATCTGAACAGCAAATACCTGGCCACACTGACATGCTTTTCCAGAAAGAGCAGGACGTGAATAAAAGGACGATGGTGGCCTCAGCCAGCCTGGGCGTCAAGCGAGACTGTCTCACAAGCAGTCAGAGGAGGGGGCTGGAGGCATGGCCCAAGTGGCAGAGAGCCTGCCTCAGGAGCACGCATGCCTGAATTCAAACTCCAGGACTGAAAAACAAACAGCAGACAAGCAAAAATGCATCTCCAGTGCAGCATCAGAAGTGGGGCTCTTGCCTGGGACAAGGCTGTGACCGCCTGGTAAGGCAACAGTGGAGTAGGAAACTCGCCAGAGACATGTCTGCGAGCTCAGAACCGCCATCAGAGGAAGCAGCAGTGTCACAGCAGAAATCTTCCTGCTGTGATCTCCAAAGTGACCATCTGAGGATCGTTGCGACCCATAGCCTAAAAACCTTCCAAACTTCAAGAAAACAAACTCCCTTTTAAGACTGGCCACAGACCTGACAGACACTTCAGCCAAGACCCAGGGATGGCAAATGAGCCCATGAGGAAGTGCCCCATGCCATATGTCACCAGGGAAGTGTCAGTGAAAACAGCAGGGTCCTACCTGTTCTATCTTGCTGCTCAGAGTGCAAGATGGCACGGCCACTTGAGAAGACCTTTAGCTGCTTCTCACAAAGCACATTCTTTTTCCCCCACTTGTTAAACCATTTTTATTCGCGTATGTTATCTGTACAGGGGACCTCGTTGTGACATTTCCACATATGCTTGCAATGTGCTTGGGTTTGGTTCACCCCACCATTGTTCCCCCTCAGCCCCCTCCCCCTAATTAAATTGATTTTGAGGGGTGTCAGTGTTGTATCTTCACACATGCGTATAAAAACATCAGCCACAGTCGCCCTCCTGCACCCCCTCCCTTCACCCTCCCCCCCACTCTTGTTCTTCCCCCAACAGGACCCATTTTCCCTCCTGTCCGCCATCGTTCTAGTGGCTGGTCACTATTCAAAAGGACTTTGCCATGGTGTTTCACCCACGAATATATCTCTTTAATCGGTGTGACCCCTCAAG